CGGGCTTTCCCTTTTGGGTTTCCCCTCAAGGTTTTTAAAATGAGTATGCTAAGGAGAGGTTTCCAAGAAGGCTATTACATGAATGCAATTACACTGAATCTAAAAGAAAAAGTGAGAAAGACACCTGAAAATGGAAGATCAGCACAAATATGGAAATGATGGCAACAAATGGAAAATGTAGAAAATCAGGGACTGCTAAAATATGAAACGCGCCTGAAAATGGTTTTTAAAAAAAGGTTACACATGGAACTTAACCTCTGTGCAATTATTTTAAAAATCATAATCCTTACATGGTTTGAATTCATTTACTAAAGTAGCTGAACATTCCACTGCAATTTACAACCGCCAAAGAAGAACTCCTATCTAATTCAGCTTTATCAGCTAACCTGAAGAATATGACGGCAGAGAAAAGCAATGATGGTAATCGCTGCGATAAGCATTTTCGTGCACCTGAAAATTGTAAATTCTATCAAATAACTCAACTGTTAAAAGAAAAGATATGATGTCAGATTATGACGACACCTCCGAATTATGACAACACCCCAAATTTTATTTTAAACATTTAGAATAAAATATCAATGCAGGACACTTACAACACTCTCCGAATTATGACGACACCTCCCAACACAGAAATCAAACACACCGGCATATGTCCCTGCAAGATTTAGCGTAGTTTGAAATATTTAATTAATGTCTTTGGAATAACAAAATTAATTTTTCTATAAGTACATCATTACCTGCAGTGGAAGGCTTAGCAATTTTTATTTTTAGTATTTGCTCCCTTTTTGTCTGCAAGCAGCATCCAGAAAGGCGCCAATTTTTAGATTCCAGCTCAAATTCATAAGGAAAAAAAAGACTAAATAAAAACAGAATGAGGCATTATAAGAATCAAGAAGAATTCCATCATACCCTTGAAGGATCCTGGCAGCATGAAACACAATATTCGTAGGAATTACAACATTGTGAAACAAGATTGCATCCACTGCAAATTGTAAGCAGAAAAATAAATACTATGCTCGACAGAGCTCGAGCTCTTACACTCATCATGAGCCATCAAAGATTTATCTGGAAAAAAACTCACTGACAAGGAAATTTTTCCCCTTTCCCTAGGCAGCAACGAGACATTGGATCAAAAGACGAAGCATCACATACATAGCCTGCATGAGAGCACAATAATTATGCTGAATGGAAGAAGTATACATTTAGGACTTTCCAGAAGTTACAAGTTCTGACAAAACATGTACGTAAAAAGTTTCAGGACTTTCCAGAATATTTAGTATTCTCTAGAATACTATAAAGATCTAGATAAGATATAAGCAGAATACATGAGTATTTTCGTAGCCAAGGCAGAGGTAATAATTGATAATTAAACTCACAGATGAATATCTAAATAGAAGTGGTAAAAATTAATAATGAACAAGATGAAGGGATCACTGTAAACATTGACTAAGAAGAGCATAACAAAAAGCAGTAGGCAGGGCAGCACCAACACAGAACATCTAACAGCAGGTTTTGAGGCCAATTTAAGGGGTCTAAGATAGTCGATCTACAGTCTCCCAATTCTCTCTCTCTCTCTCTCTCGCTCTCTGCTGAAAATGGAGCTTAAACATATGGAAGGACTGTTTCCAGTTTTTGAAGAGAACTCTGATAAGGATTTTGTATACAAGAGGGATGAGACTAACAACCACTCTAGTCAATCCAAGCTCAAACATTCAAGAGGCCAAGGAAATATATTCAACAGCAAGAAGATTTGATCCTTGACAACAATGTGAGTCCATATCCTTTTGGACTGACAATTGGGGTTCATCTCCTCTCAAAGCTGCCTTCCAGACTTCACACTCTCTCAAGCCGCAAGAAATCAACCACTGCGGCATGTTGGAACAGAAATAATGCCTCTTGGGATCTTGGCTTAAGAAGACACCTTACAAAAGAAAAGATCATTGAGTTGTCCCTCTGATCCACTCTTTTACAACCCCCTTCTAGACCTACGGTGGAAGACCAATGGAAATGAACCCTAGATACTAAAGGTTCCTACAAAACTAGATATCTTTCTTACAAATTATCATCCAGTGGTAGTCTACATCATAAGAACCTATACACGAATATATGGAAAGGCCCCCTAGTGTGCCCTTTGTCAAAACCTTTCCTCGTTTAGGAAATCAGCCATGGACGCGTCAACATACCATTTGGTCTTCCCCAGTGTTCCACTCACATTCCAGATGCTTCTTATGGGTCACCTTATTTATACTTCCCTATCTTGGTGTAAATTCTCCCCATACTTTTTTTTTTTTTTTTTTTTATTACAGCCTTAAATCTCTTATAGCCCGCTGGTCTTGCTTTTTGTAATTCTCATGGCTATTTTAGGCAATATGCAATTCCATATAATAGCTTTAATGATTTTCCTTCTAAAAGTTAGATTAAGTGGCAGACATCTTCAAGATCAGAGATTTATCACTGTGGCCCAACCAAAGAACTGTGAATCAAACAAATTCAAGTGAACTCGCACAAGAAAGAACAAAGAATTTAAAACGAACTTGTTCACCAAATTTTTCAAACGCCCCTAATAAAAAAAAAATTGAAAACAAGTAAAAGAAAGGCACATATTCAGGAAATTTCAATGTAACTGCAAAAAATGAAGAAACGAAGTAGCACTACGAGTTAACGAAAGAAATGCTTACCACTATCATCAGCCAGTAAATATCTTCCCTGAACAGTGCTCCTACATGATCTATTTACTGCTAACCCAATATTATTCCTTCAATAATAATAATAAAAAAAAAAAAAGGAACAATAATTTAGTAAACAAACTGAAATATAACCCAGCTATAATGACATAGAAACAAAATGATATGAATATAGAACATACAGTATTTAACCCATCAAGAACGAAGGCAAGAAAAAATTGGAAGTCATAAAAGATCACGAGAAAATCCACTCGTAAAGAGCATTAAGAAAACTAAAGAGACTGGAAATCCATTTATAAATGGATTCCAAAATTCAAGAATCTAAACACAGCAACATTCTTCCGTTTGGTTTCTCTGTAATCGGGAACAGAACAGTACGAAAGGCCAAAATCCTAGAAAGAACAACGCAGATGGGATGAATTAGAAACTGAAAGTGAAAAAAACTCACCTGATAGCTGAAATTATTGAAGGAAAGAGGAAGAAAAATTGGAAGAACAAGAGAGATAAACTGATGCGCTGAGTGGACATTGCGTTATGAACGTGGTGAATAATTAAACCAAGAGATGAGAATTGTGTGGGAAGTCGGCGTTTAAGCGCAGATTCGACGGCTTCCCGCCTGTCTGAGCTCTCCCTCCGTTCTGTTCTCCATGGAAATTGCTGCTGATTGAAATATATAATCGAACCAATTTTTTTAATGATTAAATTAAAGTCTTTATAAAAAAAATAATTAATAATAATAATAATATATCAAAAATTTTAAACCTAATTAAACATTGCAATTTATGTATGTCAACTGTGTAATTTTAATAATCTCAAATTTTGAAAAATGTTATATTGAATTAATACTCGAATAATTTTGTTATTTTTACAATATTGTTTTTATTAAAGAAACAATTGTAAAATATATTTTTATTCACATGAAAATTAATTTATTTTCGAGACTTGTATTGGGTAAAATTTTAAATGGATAATTATATAATTTAAACTCTAAAGAAGTGAATTAATTTAGTGTTTCTATTAATGATTTAAAATTATTTTTACGTATCTCCTACTCAAGTTTATATATGTTGCCTACTCAAGGTTATATAAGGTAAACCGTTGTTATTTCTCTCTTGCTTATCCCCGTTGCCTACTCAAGGTTATATATGGTAAACCGTTGTTATCCCCGTTGCCTACTCAAGGTTATATATGGTAAATCGTTGTTATTTCTCTCTTCTTTATACTCAAGGTTATATATGGTAAACCGTTGTTATTTCTCTCTTGCTTATCCCCGTTGCCTACTCAAGGTTATATATGATAAATCGTTGTTATCCCCGTTGCCTACTCAAGGTTATATATGGTAAATCGTTGTTATTTCTCTCTTCTTTATACTCAAGGTTATATATGGTAAACCGTTGTTATTTCTCTCTTGCTTATCCCCGTTGCCTACTCAAGGTTATATATGGTAAATCGTTGTTATTTCTCTCTTCTTTATACTCAAGGTTATATATGGTAAACCGTTGTTATTTCTCTCTTGCTTATCCCCGTTGCCTACTCAAGGTTATATATGGTAAACCGTTGTTATCCCCGTTGCCTACTCAAGGTTATATATGGTAAACCGTTGTTATTTCTCTCTTCCTTATCCCCTTTGTTATTTCTCTCTTCCTTATCCCCTTTGTTATTTCTCTCTTCCTTATCCCCTTTGTTATTTCTCTCTTCCTTATCCCCGTTGTTATTTCTCTCTTGCTTATCCCCTATTCAAGGTTAGTTATTTCTTTCTTGTTTGCTTATCCCTGCCCAAGGTTAGTTATTTCTCTCTTGCTGGCTTGTCCCCCTATCTAGGGTTATATACGATAAGCCGTTGTTATTTATCTCTTGCTCGCTTATATAACGTATCTTTCAAAAATCTCTCTCTACCCTCGCTTTCTAAAATCTTCTCTTAAAACCGAGGTCAGAAGCTCGAGCATACGTCGCTTGGCCGTAGGCGACGCAAGAACGAATTGGCTTAGCTCACTTGTCGTTGAAAAGTGAGTGCCGCACAATCGCAAGTCCGCTGCCATTAAAAGTGCTTCTACAAAATCCATTCATAATCTCATTAATTAGAATCAATTCATAATCACATAAATAAATAAAATGGATTGAAATCATATTGTAACAATGAAAAGACCATAAAAACTTTAAAAGGAACTTGACCAACTTTTGGAAGGGTGGAGAATTAAGAACACTTCTCAAAATGTATATAAACAAGAACGTTTCAAGAATTCCAAAACAATTAACAGCACCTCAAAATACTTAGAACACACTTCGAAACTAAGTTATTAGACATTGAAATGGCTATGGAGGAAGTCATGTACATTGATGCCAGTTACATAGCTAGTTATCTATAACTACGTTAGTACACAGCCAAACCAGATATAGCACTTATCAGCTATTGAGTTGATTATCAAAAAAGAGGAGGATGGTCGAACAATAGAATGACATTGAACTCTCAGAAGTGAGTGAGTTGTTCAAGTTTTCTAGCCTGGAAAAATTTGCACCGTCCTTTCGCATTTGATTCAATTTCTTCACTCTTTCTCTTGGATGTGGTGATACCAACGTTGCTTAGTCTTAATTGTTTCTTACCACTTCCACCCGTAGCCCCATCTTCATCCACTTTGTCTGATTCCCTGAACATCAAGCACATAGAAAAAGCAAAACTTACATCTTCCATAACAACTTTAAAGTTTGAGTCAGTGTCAAGGAGGTATGAGAAGTTTTGGCATCTAATTCTTTGAAATCCCACATCGGTTGGGGAGGAGAACGAAACACCCTTCATAAGGGTGTGGAAACCTCTCCATAGCAGATGCGTTTTAAAAACCTTGTGGGGAAGTCCAAAAAGTAAAGTCCAAATAGGACAATATCTGCTAGCAGTGGACTTGGGCCGTTACAAATGGTATCAGAGCCGAACACCGGGCGATGTGTCAGAGAGGAGGCTGAGCTCCAAAGGGGGGTGGACATGAGGCGATGTGCCAGCAAGGACGCTGGGCCCCGAAGGGGGGTGGATTTTGTGGGGGTCCAACATTGATTGGGGAAAGGAATAAGTGCCAGCAAGGACGCTAGGCCCCAAAGGGGGTAGATTGTGAGATCTCACATCGGTTGGCTCACAAAACACTCTTTATAAGGGTGTGGAAACCTCTCCTTAACAGACGCGTTTTATAAACCTTGAGGAAAAGCCCGAAAGGTAAAGCCCAAAAAAGAAAAGGCGGTGAGTTTGGGCCGTTACAAGTTTTCAGCTCATATGTAAACAAATGGATCATATTATGCTTATTTGGTGATTTATGAGAAGCTAAATTGATGAACAGAAACTAGGCATAGCCATCCTAGGTTGGCCAAGCGGCAAAGGATTTTGAAAAATGGGTTCAAATTGTATGGAGGTCATGGTCACTTACCTAGAATATTACAATCTTGTGAGTTTCTTGACAACTAAATGTCAGGGTTTTTCCCTGTGAGATTAGAGTCTAAACACTCACTAATGTTGAAAAAAACACTGAACGTGGGTGTATCACGAAGTAGACCCGAAGAACGAACCAAAACTATTTGGATATCTAACTATTGTACAATAAAAGTGGGATGCACCAAACAAAACTATATTCTAGAATAAAGGAAGAATCATTCATTTTCAGTGAACAAATCAAGTTCTAATTTAGAATGGGAAAGAACCGAACATCTCAGTACATCAGAGCAGGATGATGATCCAGCAAGAATGCGAAGTGCATTACATCAATAAACAATTGTACATCATTAATTACTAAACTCCATATGATATTCAAACTTGTTTTTAAGACTGCTTTCATTAAATCAATCCCACCATCACTAACAAACGCACTTCAAACAACATACCTAGTCCTATAGGGGATAACGAGCTAAAAGAAAATATATAGCATTTTAAACAACAAAGCCTGTCCTTTTTATACCGTGGAGAACATAAAAGGGCATAATGAGCTAATTCTGCAAAGAACTATAATACTTGCAAGGCAGAGTAAAAACTAACCATGATACTTCAACAATGTCTTTGAAATATGAAGTGCAGGTACCCCAACTGAAGCGGACCAATGTGGGGAACCCAAATACCGAGTGCTTGTGATCTTCTAACCAACATTTAGTTGTTGGATCTACATAGATTGAATCATAAGAGCACTAGTGATTTCACCCAGTGAAGTGAAAACGTGATTATAGTATGCTGCAAAAAATATTTAGAGGATGAAATTAACCTCCAGGGTATCCAGAACCAAAGTTTCTATGCATGTTTTCAGCTGTTTCCTCCAATGCCCAATCCCGCAACACACGATCTCTTGTGACCTACAAGTCAAAGTGATGAATTTGAGTGGGAAACGGTTGGAATGCCAGATCTTAAAAGAACGCATCAGCATTACCTTTGCAACTATGCTTGCCCCACTGACAACAGGATATAAACTATCAGCCTTCTTTGCAACTACAAATTTTACATTGGGAAATTTTTCAGATAACTTGATTCTGTACTTTTCAGGATCTCCAACAGTATCCACATAAACCTGAAAATAAATAGAAGTGATTGATCTAACATTGTTCATGGGGCACCCTAAGGAAAGGTTGAAGGCATAGAGTCTGAAGAAGAATGGGCAGAACAAATCTGTAAATGACTTCAAATCATCAATTCATAACAAAAAAGTTTGAAGGCAATGGAAGATGAGATATGTTAAATGGGGATTTTATTTCCCTCTATCTTATGAAACTGATAAATCATGAATATAACTTTCCAAAATTTAATTTTTACAGATCTTCCTCATAAAGAACATGTCGCATCCTGCTATTGTAATCAAGAAATGAAACGGGCTCATTTACCTACTTGATTTTTTTTTTTTTTTTTAATACGAATCCAAACTTTCATGAACGAATATACAGAGGCATACAAAAAATAATAGGAAGTTACCAAAGGCTATTCAATCTTCTCAAGTTGTTGCCTCTACTTTCTTTGTTGAGAGAGTGCATTCTTAAAACGTTCTATTTTTTTCATCAATCAATGACAATTTCTTGTTGAAAGAAATACTATTAAAATACTAAAATCACATAACTGACTTATGAATGCAAAAAACCAGGGAGAGAGTTACCTCAGTTAAAAGAACTCCCATGCCTAGAACCTTGGTAACCAGACCCATTGCAGAGTCATGTGATATTTCATTTAGGTTTATCTTCACTCTGTTGAACAATAAAAAGAAAAACTTCAGAACAAAACCCAGGCGTGAAAGTTCTCATATGATACATTATGTTGGACTTAACATTTTGCCTTCCGTTGTTAAAGCATCGTTATCCGTTAGCTTAGAGTGTTTGTGCAAATGAAAGAATTTATAAACCACCAAATACCGACTTATTTAGCATTTTGGATGAAAGTTCCCGAGGATCTATGACATCAACAGCCCATCCAATTGACTCATTAGTCTTCAATCCTTCAAACAATTCCTCCCTCTTCTCTTCTTTTAATGCTTTTGAGTCTAGATGCAAAACAAAACATAAAAATTTGGAAGAAAAGTAAACGAAACTGAGAAACAATGAAAAACACTTAAAAGAAAATCGGTAGAACCATCAATTTTGCAGAGAAGCTAAACCTGCAAAATTCAAAGACGAAAGTTCTTTCAAATAGGAACGAGTGCAGTACAAGCATCCATACACCATTGGCCCTGAGATCAAATGCAGTAACATTTCAGAAACAAATTGGTAAACTAAATCATATCCGAAAATAAGATAATCGGAGCGGTGTTAAAGATGCAGAAATGGAAGGAATCGAATAGGAAAATAGAAAACCTAAAACAGGGCCTCGACCAGCTTCGTCGATGCCCATTACACAAGGCTTCGATGCCCATTTCGGGAGTGGATCTTGCGAAGACATTGCTGAGTTCTTCTCACTACGTCAGTTTACTACCAAATCTCACTTCCCCTCTTGAGCGTTTTCGATTGTGTGTTCCTTTTAGGTCGATTCCCGCCATGGAAGCTTTTATCTGATACCTTTCACAGCTTCCCGCTTAATCGCCCCTAATTCTTTACGCATTTTTGACAAATTTCTAATATAAATTTTAAAATGTTTAAAGAAAATTAACTCTTCCATCCTTAAATTTACAATTTAAAAATTGTTTACAATATATTTTTTTATTATAAATTTTTAAGTTTAGTTTTAAATTATTACGGAGAGGTAAAAAAATAGTATTCTGTAAATTTCATTTTTAAATAAGTAAAAAAGTAGCATATTATAGTATTTAGTAAAAGACATTAAATGATAGTAAATTAGTTAATAATGACTCGTATGACATATATTATAATTATTTTATTTGGACATTAAAATTATATTGTATTATGAAATTAATCAATTGAGTTATACTCAAACTAGACGATAATATATTCTAATAATTATATTGTATTATGAAATTAATCAATTGAGTTATACTCAAACTAGACGATAATATATTCTAATAATTATATTGTATTATGAAATTAATCAATTGAGTTATACTCAAACTAGACGATAATATATTCTAATAATTATATTGTATTATGAAATTAATCAATTGAGTTATACTCAAACTAGACGATAATATATTCTAATAATTATATTGTATTATAATTTTAATCAATTGAATTATATTCAAATAGATGATAATATAATCTAATAATTATATTGTAATATAATTTTAATCAATTGATGATAATATAATCTAATAATTATATTGTAATATAATTTTAATCAATTGATTTATACTCAAATTAGACGATAATTAATCTAATAATTATATTGTACTATAATCGAGTTATACTCCAATTAAGTGATAATATACTCTTGTATATAGTACTACAATCTTAATCAATTAGACCATAATATAATCAAATACATATACTGTACTGCTATCTTAATCAATTTAGTTATGCTCAAATGACGATAATATAATCTAATAATTATATTGTACTACGATCTTAATCAATTGAGTTATATTACATTCTTAATTAATTGAGTTATATTCAAATTAGACGCCGTTCACGAACATGAGCATCTGAATTCTTTGATAAAACTCAAGCAAGCAAGCAAAGGAAAATGGAAGGTAAGTTTAATTAGGCATTTATGTGTGTATATATCAATATTAGATTTTTAAGGCAATAAATACCAATTCACCAGCAGAACAACAGAAGAGTGCACAACAACAGTGGAGCAAATCCATGTAACGAACCATCCACACCATTCTAAACTCCAAATGTAAAGAGGTTACTAACAAATCTATATCTTATCGATATCTTCGTCCTCGAACTCGAGATAGTCATCGGCCCCACCATCATCCTCATCATCGATACCACCAGCAATACCCTCGTTGAGACGTGTGCTCTCAGGAAGTTCACCATATGCCTTCAAAAGCCTTGCTTCGTCGGGCATATACTTGAGGATGACATCAGCTTTGTCATCCTGGTAGTCGCGAAGACCCACAAGTATTATATCACCAGCTGCGATCCAAACCTTTTTGTGCATCTTCCCTCGGATATGGCAAAGACGCTTTGTTCCATCGATGCACATCGCCTCACACCGACCATTCCCTAACATTCTGAGAACCTGAGCATACTCCTGACCATCTTCCTTGAAAACAAGCTCACGCTTCTCATCATCTGCTTCGTTCTTTCCTCTCTTCCTGTTCTTTCCTCCCTTTCCCTTGTTCTTCGGCATGTTTACTGTTCTGTGTTACATTAGAAATGCAATGAGTAGTTGCAATACCACCAACACACAGTCATCACAACCTCGTAGACTCGTATTTCAAGTCATTAAGTACATATAATGCAGAACTCCAACTTTGCACTCTTGATATAATTAGAATTTAGATTAGTCTTAACCACATAACTTCTGTCTAGTTAAACAAAACACAAAGAAAGAAAATAAATTACAAAACAATTACCCCAAATGTTTAAACAGCGCATACAAGAATAGAACAGCCACGTAATTATCATTTCGAGTTGGTAATGTTAGAAGCAAGCCATTTTTTTTCCCTGTATGCTTATATTATCTGCTAAACATGATATTATCTTTCACCAAACAATCCAATATTATCTGCTAAACATGATATTTTCAGCTTGTCTGTGGTGGAACATAAACCGACAAAAAGATAAAAGAAATCACAATGAATCTACTTGACAGACTCACAGTGAATATGATATTAACCTAACCAAATATCAGAAATGAATAAACGAGTGCTTCAGAAATAGTGTTTCCTCGCATTTACTAAACAGAAGGTGAAGCAAAAGCCAGTTATAATCAACATAAAAGAACCGGATTCAAACCCTATGTTACCCTTCCTTTTGTATACTGAGAAGGTATGGTTGGTCCAAAAGCATGAACTAGAGATTCAACAAATCTATTCTTGAATTAAACAAAATCATCTCTCTTCCCTGCATCTTTCTAATCAAGCAATTCAAATATTTTACCTCAACCACCAAAAGCAACCCACAGTATCTTCCTTTCTTTTGTTGATCTGTTCATCCAATCATTCTAGCACCTATTATTTTCTAAACCTTGGGGTAACTACCAAGGTATCACTTTTCCTTTTTTCTAAGTCTCATGTGGTGTTGCTCTAATTAATTGATGATTCCAACAAATATTAGTCTGTTACTAGGTTGGATAATTGATATTCATGATTAGAGCGATTTGAAGAAGGAAAAACAGGTTAGGCACTTTGACGAGATTTTCCTTGGGGAAACAGCCAAGATTATCACTTTTCCCCTTTTTCTAAGTCCCGTGTGATGTCTCTGTAATGGACTAACAATTCCCACAAACATTAGTCCATTACTAGCTTGGACATTTGATAATCAAGATTCAAGTAATTAGAAGAAAGGTTAATTAGTTGCTATGACGAGATTTTTTTTTCCCCCCCTAAAATTGATCAAATTAACAGCTGTAAAAGGATTGGTACCCTCAATGCCTAGCTACCACAACTCAGAGGCGCAGACCAGAGCAATACTCATAATATTCCACACATCACATATGTCGATATCATAAATACATGATCATCAAGATTCACCATATAAAGTACATAATTAAGATAAAAGTGCTCTTGAACAAAGGATTCATTCCAGCCGCTAAAACAGCAGAGAGGATATAAGTTTTCTAACATGGGCTGCAAAGAGTCATCAAACAATTTGAATGTTCAATAAATATTTTCAAACTGGGGCATCATCTCTCATGATCATGATTACTAAGATGAATCCTTGGCCCGTCCAACAATATTTTCACTTCTTATTTCTAGTCTTTTGCTTCGTACTTTGAAATAAGAGAGAATCATAAGCGTTCTTTTTTCTTTTCCTTCTCCAAAATCATTAATTCCCATAATTTACATCATATAAGAGAAAAGATGCTCAAATTGAGAGGTCAACACGGTACTAAAAACGATCAAAACCTAGCAATTAGAAGGCATCCCTCCAATCTCCATATTTAAGAAGATTTGAATCGTGCTAAACAAAAGGCAGATCATTCCAATCAAAATCACAAAAAGAACGCAGTCCTGATACAAGAGATTCAGTCGGAGGAAAGAAAAAGATCTTCAAAGCGACAAAAAAACATAAAAAAAAAGCACAAGAAAATTACATACCAAGGCGATCAGGAACCTGCCAAGCCAAGAATCGAGCTAGAGAGACGGTGGAAATGAGGGGGAGAGAGAGAAAAAACCCTAGCCCCTTCTACAAATAGGGATAATCGTGAGAGAGGGGAGGAATTGGGGTGAGCAAACCGACCGAACCGACTTCAGTCGATCGGTTTTTCTATATATTCGGTCGGGTCGGGCCAGTTTTGTACCTAGAAACCCGACCCGATCGAATACTTTTCTAAAAAAATTAAAAATAAAAGAAACCACGGATCAAAATTACCATTTTAACCTCTTCTCTAAATTTTTTCCATTACTACAATAACATTTTATTATTATTAATGTTTACAAGAAAAATTACAATGGAAAATAATAAATACAATAAAAAAAAATTACACATTTGGTTCGGGATAGATATTATTTTAGTTCTTCATGTTTGTGTAACGTTCCTAATTTTTATTACTAAATTAAAATTTTCACTACATGCCTCAAATATCTAATATGTGTGAAATTTATTTTAAAATATTCACACGAAAACAATACCATAAATTTAGACGTTCACAAAATTTTATTTCAAATAAAAGTAACATTAATGGAATAGCGAAAACGAAATAACAATAATTTTAAAATAATGAAAACACACATTTAAGCGCTCGTTCTGAGATAGGGACGAATTTTTGCAAATGTCGCATGCATAGACTTAACGACAACAGCTTCCTTAGTTGCAATTCTAACAAAAATATATATATATATATATATATATATATATATATATTATTTTTGTAATTTAATTTCTATCGAGAATTAAAATTAAAATTAATCAGACTATTCCTTTGATATTCTTTACAGGTAAAGAATAAGATCCATGAAATGGGCTGGGTCGATTGAATCTAAAAATATCCCGATCCAATACATAGAATCTAAAACGTTTGGATTCCGTTGTAATTTCCTGTAGTTCCCGCAAATTCCTATTCCTTTTAGAATTCTAGAACTAATCCATAAATCTTTCTTGTGCACAGAAGCGTCTTCGTTTCGAAGAATTTGAGTTCAAGAAAATTCCAAATCTATTCTAAAATCCTTCGATTATGGAGTACAATCGCTATTTGTCTTCTTCCTCTGCTCCACATCAGATGTAGCAGTTTGATGAATTGTGGATCTATGCGGCGTTTGAGGCGGTGGAGATCACAATGCGCCCGGAAATAAATATTCAACATAATCAGTTGATTGAGAATAATGCTGGTTTTAGCTTATCAGATGCAGTAGTTTGATGAATCGTGGATCTCTGAGGCGGCGGAGATCATAACGTGGTCGGAAATAAATATTCAGCAGAATCAGTTGATTGAGAATAATGCTGGTTTTAGCTTACTTGGTGATTGCAATTTTTCTTCTGCTACTCCGTCGTCTCTGCATCTCGATCAGATACTGCAGTTGGATGACTCGTCTCTCTTTGTATTTCTCCGACAATGATGCGTCGTTTGAGTCGCCGGAGATGAATATCCCGCAAAATCAATCGATTGAGATTAATCACGGTTCTAGCCTCCCTATCGATCGTCAGTTGCCTTCTTCCTCTGTTCCTCCTCCGGCGCCTCCACATCTTAATCAGAATCCGGACCTGGCGATGCCATCAAATCAGATGACGCAGTTTGATGAACCATGGATCTCTGCGGCTTTTGAGGCGGCGGCGTTCACAATGACGCTGGAGATGAATATTCAGCAGAATCCGTCAATTGAGAATAATCAAGGTTTTAGCCTCCCTGGCGAATCCAAAACGGAGGCGGAGATTGCTCTTGATAATTATCTCAAGATATATTCCGCGGTTGATGATCCTTTATCATATTGTGAAGGTTATGATTTTGAATCTAATTATGTCGATCCATCGTCCATCAAACCTATCGCTAATTCGTGCTCTAAGGCAGAGTTCGATCTCTCGAATTACAATCCGGCTTCGATGACAAATTTTTCACAGTTCAATCACTTAAATATCAAAGATATTGAGATTCAATTACAGAACTTATCTACTCCGTCTTCAGCATGGGTCTGTAATAATTTGTCTGATATTGTAAACTCGATGAAGAGTTTGCTGCCAACAGAATCGCTACCGCTGCCTCCGCCGCCACCTCCGCCGCCGCTGTCCAATGTCATTAGAAACCGAGGCAGGACATCGGGGATCAATAACTGGAATTGGTGCATAAGAACAAGTAAATGACTATTTTCTTTGGTATTAATTCGAGCAAATTAATTGATTTTTTTAAACCTAAATTTAAAAAATTTTAAATTAAAAAAACAATTTATTTCATAAATATGATAGCGATGTTGTTTAAAGGTAAAAAAAAAAAAAAAAAAAAAAAAAAAAAAAAAAAAAAAAAAAAAAAAAAAAAAAAAAA